CGACCAATTACATTTCTCGTGAACCGCATAATTAATCCTCGTTACACTTACGAGCTCTTCATCTCCTATATCACATCTATTGTGGTCACTGCATGGTCATTTCATGTGTTTTAACGACTATTGTAAATGGAACAAATTCGTCTACTCCACAACAACTACGTCGAAAGCTATCCGGCATCGTGGTTTCTTGGTGTCATCTGATGTGAACGTGAATGGTGGAAGAAACCCTCTCGCCAATAGTGATGCATATGCCAGCATAAACACACCGCACTCGTTGAAGTCGCGCTGCTTTGGAATGCCTTCCACTACCCATATATGGTTGAAGTTTTTCGTGTCAATTTCTTGACCTTGTTCGACCGATCTCATGTACAGAAATCTTGCGAACCCCCCTATCACCTTCTTTGCGAGTTGAACATCTGGTGCCAGCGAATCATAGTACTCAAATTTCTTATGCCTAAGGTCTGCCACTACGAGTGTCCAATGTTGGTTGTGCGCGGCGTGGAAAGGTGCAATAATAAAATTCATGTCGCTAATCACGACCTCTGTGAACCACTTACGAACCTTTTCGTACTTGAACTTCATATCGCTATCAAATAGTCTCGCGAAAAAAAACGAGCTTAGAACTGTTATTCTAGGAATGCGCCCCTTTCCTGTTCTAACCACATTCTCGTTCTTCGAGTCGCAATTATGGTGCTTCACACGACACTCATTGTCCAGTTGGACAAGGTTAAGATAAAAATTAACTATCTGCTTGTTCAACCACTTTTTTTCTGTCATTAGCAAACTAAAATCGTTGACTGTCATCGTTAGTTCTTCTTTTGTGTCTTCGTTAAACGAACTTGCTATGACGTCTCTATTCCCAATTCGCACTGACAATCGCGTGACGGCCTCCATCTCTTGATTCGTCAATTTCGTTGTTGCCAAGTGGATGGTCCATCCTTTTTTGCACCTCCGTTTTCCTCCATTGTCGTTTGCGCTGCACATGACAATGCGGCATGTCTTTATGTGAGCTATTGTTTCAATACGTGCATTTCTAGTGATTTTTATTGTATTCAATTTGTTGCAGTAATGCGTACTACGGTTTACCTTAAACGAGCGGGCTGCTTATAAAAACTAGGAGTTTACGTAGTGGAAACCAATACACTCCTATATATTTTTTCATGCACTTTCGTCACTTTCATCAACCGCGTCATCTGTGTTTTATGACATACCACACTAATATTTATGACATACCACACTAATAATCACACTTTCTTTAGATTCATCAAGGGTGATATATGCATTATACGAAAAGAGAGAGAGAGAGAGAGAGAGAGAGAGAGAGAGAGAGAGAGAGAGAGAGAGGGAGAGAGAGAGAGAGACAGAGAGAGAAAAACATTGTTATGTATCATGATTGACACTTTTATCTGATGTCCTTTCAAACTCACTGCGGAATCAATTATTTTATCACGTATCTTCCTTCGAGTATTTATCCGAGTTGCGTACAAGCGCTCACACACACACACACACACAGACACACACACACACACCTATGTACACACACACACACACACAAACAGATACATAAGAAAAAAACACACACACTCTCTCCTTACTCATATACGAATACGTATATCACTCTCTGTATATATCTACACATTCATCAGTTGTCTTTTCGTTTTTTCTCTTGTCGACCGTCTAGTAGGTCGACCTCCGTCATCCACTCCCTTCTGTTCATCGACATTATCCCATGCATCCTCATCGTCATTGTGCCCCTCTAGATGTATGTCTTGCCCTTTATCGCTTAATGAAATAACATTAATCACAGTCAGTGAAGTGGTTGATCCCCCAAGCTTCCTCTTCCCCTCATTCTCCACCTCAATCAACACTTTCATCATCTCATCGGAATTTTGTTGCGCCTCACTTGCACGTTCTACATACCCACCTTGTTGCATTCCATCTGCAACCACCATGTTCGCGGAAGGAGTGAGACTCTCCATCTGGCGGCCCGTACGATTCAACGTTTGATTTGTCTTCGTTGACATTTCGCGTTCCCTTGTCCACCCCCATTATCTTGACAGCAGTTTGGCTCATTGTTTCCTCAACACTGGCAACAAAGTGCGTCGTCGACTGTCCCCCAAACTGTGAGCATCCCAACAGGATTGTCTCGATGCCTTGGCAAGCAGGAGGAAGTGCGATCTTCCAATCGATGGGCTTGTATAGTCAGTTTGACGGCAAGTCATATAATTTGTGTTTATATTCCAGTCGATTGTCTGAGCGCAGCGAATCGAACAACAATTGAGCCTTCTCCTCAATAGCTGCCTCATTCACCTTGTCGTTTTCGCACTCTAAACGAAAGACAAGTTCGTTTTTCGCCACTTTCAGCCACAGTTCTTCTGTCAGTCTGGGTTTGATTTCTCATCCCGATGATAGATGAAGTGTCATCATCCACTCCCCCTTGAAAACGCACGGTTCGAACACGTCCGTATGCCACAAAATATGATGCCCTCACTTCTTAGACGTCGTTTCTAACATTTTGTCTTGAACGAAGTACGGTTGTGCACTTTCCTGCACAATGCGATCGAGGATATCATCACCAGGCATGAGCTTCGAGGGGGCATCTGGAAGAGCCAAGTCATCCTCGTCAGCGTATGTCAGCATGTCGTGGTCCGTGTTTTTTCCAGATGGAGGGCTTCCTTGCAACCTGTGACGATTGTCATGAATCAACGTATTCTCAAGTGCTCGGTGGGACGTCGGCGAATCCGTTTGCATCTGTTCAATGGAACTCGCCCTGTCCGTCACGTCACGCGCAGAACTGCTCGCACCTCCCGAGTTCGTGCAACCTCCTTTTGGATTCTCGTTCTGCACGCTGCACGCAGGCACACTTTGCAGTCCCTCTCACAAACATTTCACTCGCTCTTCGATTTCGAGATCCGAGGTTTTAGTCTCCTCGTCGCTCTCGATCGGACACCATGCATCGGGTGTCTTGGCAATGTTACTGTACTCATCGTACGTCAGCATTGCCTGATTTCTTGTGAACTTCATTTGTTCATATCGCGCCACAAACATCGCAAACGCGGCCACCTGCGCTTTGTGAAAACCACCATACACTTCATGTGCCATCGCTTTGCGAACTATGTAGTCATGCTCGAATGGCGACTTGGCTTGGCCTTGGAACAGATAGTCTCATATTTTATTTCTCTTCTTGCCCAACTTGTGGTACATGTCCCTGTCCGGACTATGCGCAGTCTTCTGTCTCTCAACTGTGCAATTGTTTCTCGCGTCCTTCCAAAGAATGTCGATGACCTTCGTCAAGTACGAGATGTCTTTCGACGACGCGTCACATGCAAAAACATGGTAGCCCGCGAGTAGAAGCTCCCACACAAGTCCAGCATGCGACTTTCCGAGAAGTATCACCCCTTGGTTCTCGTGCAGAAACGAATTACATAACTTCTGCAACCGTGTCGGATGTCGTTCCCACCGCCCATATTCCTCTCATTCGTTTTCTTCATCGCCATCATGCCTCGTTGTGCACCTCTTGAAGTAGTCCTCCTCAACGTTTAATTCCACTATCTCCGCCTCCGATTTAGGGGTCTTGGTGACCTTCTTGAGGTCCTCGCCCTCGGCATGTAGGACGATCGTCATCGTGTCTTTGAAATCGACTTGCCAGTTTTCGTACTTGTTGACAGTCGTCCCGACCCCCAGATAACACTTTCAAGTCTCAGGTATCACCTCTACGTCATCCCAGTTGTATAGGTGTCGCATGACGGTCTTCTGTTGTTTTTGTCGGGCAAAAACAATCAAAATCAAATTATTGTCGCAAAATTTGGACATCATTTTGTGCAGAGCATCGAAATCGGTCGGCGACCATGCATGACACTCCTTTGGGTTTGCGAGATCGAGGATGGCGGTCCTGCAATTTAAGTTCGTGGCTGCAGTGACAACTTCGTCGGCCGTGGGCAGCAACTTCTTTGGGTGCATGTTGATCGACAGCAATGTCGACCGTCGCTCTTCCTTCTCCAAACACAGATGAACCGCAGTGTTCTTCAACCGTCACAACTCTGCTTTCTGCAAGTTCACTTTCCCTATCGCATGGTACACGAAGTACTTGAAGTAGAATAACGTGTCCCTATACAACGCCTCCGTGACCTTTAGGCCAGCTCCTTTCAGACATTTTTCCTCTTGCTCTCCCCCGAGTCTTTTCTGAACCTTCCAGACGTACTCCAAAGGGATCCTATCCCTCTCCTCATCCCATTCGTCTGCCTTTACCCCAAACGTTCACGCCAATTTATCATAGTCGAAGAAGAAACCCTCCTTCCACCCATTTGTTTCTCTATTCTCCGATTTGAGGACGATGTAGTTGAACAAACGCATCATGTATTTCTCGCGCATTATGATGTCGAGGAGGTTGGTCATGTTCATCTTCCCAGGAGGAACCCGTCTAGTTTGGGCGACGACTTTCTTATTGATCATCAACCGCAAAGTGATTTCCTTCTCTCGCGCCATCATATCTTCAAAACATTTGAAGTTTGATGGAACGAGATCTTTGAAGGACACCGTAGCATTTGGTCCCCCGTCCTTAGCCCGAATGCAATGGAACACCTCCTTCTTCCCTTGCATCTCTTCAACGAATTGGCCCGGCATCCCCCCCTCCTACTTCCGCGATAAGTCCTTAGGGCACTTGTTGAAGTGTAGCGGTAACTCCCCCACTTCGAACTTCTGAAAAAACTCCTTCACCAATAGTCATATTCAGTCCTTGCATGTGGCGACATTCATGTATCCCCTCATCCTGTTCGACCAGTCATGTTGCCACTTTGGAGACAAAGCCTCAGTCCACAAGGATTTGTCACATGACCACCCCATGCAAATTCTCATGAATTTCCTCCACGCCTCCTGGTGCGTTACACCGGTGGGATCCGTTTTGGACACGTTCCCCACAGACCCTATCCGTTTCTTCGAATCCCAATAATTTCTGATGTCTTCGCAGACTTGGTGGAACGACGGTAACATAGTATGGTCACCTCTCGTGTTGTCGTATGTCGACACATACACATACCCGTTCGTGTGGTCGTCGTCGAAATAAATGATCCGTACACGATCATAGTTCCGAAAGCCGAAAACATCCACTGCTGCGGATCTCCTTTGCACTGCTCTTTTTATGGCTTCGGCAGTATGTTGGCCGACGACTGGGTAATAGAAGCACTTGTCTGCCCAATCGGGATCGAAGTCCTTTGGAAAGACTTGTGTTCCTTGGCTGTCTGGATGCTCCTGCGATGGCATAATCGAAGCCAACACCAACTCAGGTGGTTCCCACAGAGCAGGATCATCCTCGCCCCTTGGACCAGTTGATGTCTTAATTGCCGCATCGAGGCCTGCAACGATGGTCAGGTTCAGTGATCGCTGATTGAAGACGATATCTCCCTCCGGAATTGGAAGAATCTGCATGACGTCAATTACCACCGTGGGCGGGTCTCTTCTCTTTTTGCCCTCCTCATCGTACTCGAGGAAGTAGCACTGCGTCATGTTAATCGCACACGGTTTCTTCGTCTCCTGTTCATCGTCGTCAGGGATGGAGAGCAAGCGAGGGGCCACCCCTTCAGCGTCGTCGCTGGAGTCGTCCGATTTTTGGCGCGTTGATGACCGCATGGCCTTCTTAGGTTGCAAAGTTTTGCGAAGCCGACCACTTGGTTTGCGTTTCACATTGGGTTCACCAAGCGTCCCTTGAGATGCATCCAAGGCGTTGAAGGCGACCCGAGCTTCGTCCACAACTTTCCTTCTAGCCTGCTTCTTAGGCGCAGCTGGCGTCGGCGACGCTTTTGCAGGGCGTTTTCCCGTCCCCTTGGAAGTTAGCCCCGCGGAAACAACGACATCTCCTCCTTCATCCTCCAATTCCTCGTATTCCATTTCCTCACCATGCAAACCGTCATCACCCATCCCACCGCTGACCGCACCTCTTTCCCACTCCATATGCTCCGCCGTTCCATCGCAATGGGTTGCCCCACCTTCAATGTGTTCTCGTTGCTCGCCACTACCACACTCCCCTTCAACTTCGTCATCTTCTCCATCGTCCCTCAACCAGGTTTCGACACCTCCACCAGCTTCCCGCCCCACATTCACATCACAAGAGCCTTCGCCCCGGATGTGCCCAGGCGTCGCTAAGAACTGTGCATCCAATTGACGAGCCCGGTCGTCTTCCTCCATTTCTTCGTCCGACTCCTGGTCGAATTCATGTTGCGGGGTGTCCCGTGAGCGCGAGCTGGCACCAGCACGAGAAGTTTCTAGAAGCTTCGAAGGACGTCTGGTAATCTCCTTCCTCTCGGGGGGCTTTCCTGATGACCCCCCCGTCGAACGCCTTGAGTAAGTAATAAGTGTATCCTTCCCACTAGAACGTTGTTGCGGTGTTGACACAACCTGTCGCCGATCGCTAGAGCACGTTGATAAGCTTGCGAGACCTTCGACAGTAGCGTCGAACGGCACAAGAGGCATCGTGAGCTGGTGACCAGCCCCGACCGTCAGGTATTGACCACTTTTTCTATACCCGTTGGTCCTGTTCAGAAACTCGACGGGTAAGAGCATCCTAAACGCATTGCCATCTCCCTTGCCGCCGAAGGATTTCATAGCGAATGCCTTCTGAACATACCCCTTGAACAGAGCAAGGTCGAGGCTGACCTTTTGGTCAGTCTTGACCCAGTCGTTACCCTGATAATCGTACACCGTTGTGAGAAAGAACTTCCTCAAGTCTCGCTCGTTGACCTTGCCCTTCTCCGTTGTGGCCTTGTCAATTTCGGACATGATGATGCCACCACAACAGTACCAGGTCGTCCCTTCGTCCTCTGTCAAAAACACAGCAGCACCCCATCCGGCCTCGTTGGTCCCTCCGACCTTGTTGAGCGCCCACGGCTTGTCGCGGTATAGTTTCGACCTGTTGTTGAGTCTTTTTTCCCCATCATTCGAACTCTTCCGACCTCTCCCTGGAGGAGAAATCCAAACGAATAGAGACGAGGGATTCACCTGTGTCATCGACACATCGTCAAGAAAGTGGACAACCTCAGAAACCGGTGTCCAGGGCATGTAGAATAAGGCCAAGTGTAAGGGTGTCACCAGTCGGTCACCTCTCTCCATCTCACGCTGGGTAATATAGTACATGGCGAACAACAGACGTAATCGCCGGACACATGCCGACATCAGTTATTCCACGGGCCGATGGTGGGAATCAAGAGTCTGTCAAAAACCGGACCCTCACCATCACCAACCACCAACCGAGGGTCCAGCGTTTATCAAACGTTGGACCTCCCGCGTTTGTTATTATCGGCAGCCGGGGATCCAGCGTTTGGCAAACGCTGGACCCCCGACTGCCAACAACCGGCAGCCGGGGGTCCAGCGTTTGTCAAACGTCGGACGGGTTGTTAGACTTTGTACTTAAGGAGAAAGTAGTGACAATCTAATCGTAGCGGAGATGTGATTTTTTTCCCCCCTGACTATGATATATGAAGGATTGTGGGGAGGGGTTGTCGATTTAAGAAAGTAAAACTATTTTATGGATACAAGTTCTACTTTTTATGAAACGTGTTGTGCATGTGTGTAGTCGAAAATTGTAAACATGCAGGATGAGGACAAGGATATGAAGTAGTAGAGAGAAGTGTGAGAGATAATAGTTGCTAAAAACGAGGCAAGTAGACACTATGCCGAGTATTTTTGTATTCTGTCATTTTTGGATTTTATAACAGACGTGCTAGTTTAAAATATTCAGAATCTAATATGATGAAACTCGCGAATTTATTCGTCTACGCACTCAACTTGCAGGATTGAAGTCGGTCAAACAAGCTTGTATGGAAGCGGATCCTCTCGTCAAGTTTCATCAACAATTGAGGATCTGATTATTTTAGGCACTAACATTTGGTCGGTGGGGATCATCGACGAATTTGCGAATTATGAGTAGTACTACATAAATGTCGAAAACGAAGTTGGACCGGATGAAGAACTTTTACCGATTATAGGTTTTGTCAACAGATAGGAGACGATTGTGTCCGACAATGGATCAAATGTATGTCATTGGTACCTGTACACAAAGGAGGAAGATGCTGACGTCATTGTATACAGGATAGACGTTGTTGATCCTTTGGAGATGTTAGAAAACTGGGGGGAGGTATGCAGGAAACAAGACTGAGATGCGAAAGACAAGAAGAAACAGAAAGTGTGTGCGGGACATTTCATTCGCAGAAGAAAATTGCTCACACCGGTGATCGTGGACTACTATGGTCGAATCCGAGTATGCAATAGAGACAAGACCATAGTGACACTTTTTACAATAGCGAAGGTTACGAACACGAAAATGAATGTGTTGTTCACTGCGCGGGAAGAATTTTGGGACCTTGCAGGTTCAAGCAAGCTCGAACAGTTTCGGAATCGGTTACAATTCGATGCGGCACTTAGAAGAGAGTTAGTGTACAGGATTGAAAGTTTGGTGCATATGCAACTTCACTACCTTTTTGATAAATGTGAGGAGATAGTGTTCACGGTCGAGCATAAAAAATGTGACACGGATGAAGTGACTCGTTCGAAGCAGTGTCATCGGTCGGGACAAAAAGAACAACCGTTAGTGGGTGGGAAACAAAATATAGTGATAGATTGTCCGTACGGTGAAAACATAAAACAAACAACAAATTTTCTACCTCTTATCCTTCACACCAAAAATGATAGCAGCCGGTAGCATAGCACGTTTGTCCTAGCCGAGACATTTTCAACAATCGATGCGCTTCATCGCTGACACGTATTCCGGACGTTGGAGCACATATGTAAAAGACTCTCCTTACTATGAAAATAGCAATTGATAACGCACTTCAGCGATCTTCAGTTTCACATTGTGTGCTGAACGCAATCAAATTTTTTTGTTATGTTTATTCGTGTTTTTTTTATTATTATTTCGTTTCCGGTTACGCTGCATATATGAATTTTGAAAAATCACAAACATTTGTAATTTACGTGCTCAAAGTTAGCATATATCAGTGGGTGCATCAAAACCGACCACTTTTTTTATTTGTTTCAATCAGTCTTTGTCGTATTATAAATTATCATTTCGTTGTTCGAATAATGTTGATAAATGTCGGATTACTAATTTTCAAAAACATTACGTAATCGATCTTGCAGAGTTGTAGTGAGTTACTAGTGCTCGACATTATAACAGAAAAGAAACAAATTAAGGTGCATCTTATAAAAAAATGGCGAGCATCGCTCACATCGCAGTGCCTGCAGGCGCAACTCTCACCACAACCAACGAACCGTTTCCATACGAATACGAGTCAATAGCAAGATGTGAGCTTCGTGGATGTAAATTGTTTGTAGTTGTCATGAGGTTTACGGAGATCGACGTGTATGATGTGCGAATTGGTGGAAGACAAGGAGAAACGAGGACGGTGCAAGATTATGTGGAATATTATGAAGCAGCTTTGCAAGTTCACGAGAGAAAAAAAACAACATTGTTGCGTGAAGGCAGAAGACTTGACGGTTGGTCTGCTTTCGTAACCGACTTTGAAAGCATGCCTGTTCCACCTATCCTGACGTGTATGTTGGACGACTCAAACGATGCGACCATGTGGATTCCCATGACGAACGTAATAAATAGGAGTCGCCGGTAATATGAGAGTAGGAAAATGTGAGAGTATGAGCAGGGGTATTTATTTAAAGATGATAAGTTGCTAAGTAGTAGACATGGAGCAACGGTGACACACATTATTTGCATGTGGATAAATGTTCAGTTGTTTATTGCATTTGCGGTGTATTTATTGTGACAAACTCGTAGAAATATGATAGAACTCTCAATTTCGTATACAAAGCAAGAGAGAAAATAAATAAAATGTGCACACTGATCATTGGAAATGAATGTGCATTGAATGTTTTTAAGTATTGTGGGGGCGTTTTGTTGCTACGTGTGACAAAAAAATCAGATTGACAGATGTAAAACGCATTAACAATCTTATTGTATTACTAAAAGGAGGTAGGTTTGAGAATATATTAACAAAATTGTTTATGAATGCGTAGAAAAACAAAACAAAAATGTTTATTTGATGCCTTTTCCCACACATCTATTACACAAATGTTGAAAATGTTAGTAAAATATTCGGTTTTGTTAAATACATGGAAAAAAAAACTTGAAACTCTTCAAATTTTGAATTACGTGAAGTTGAAAAATAATACAAAATCCAAATAAACTGAGTTTCCAAACAAATACTGAGCATTTCAGGCAATATGATTCGATAATTAAACCAATGGTACCCTGTATACTGCGGTAATAAAACTGGTTGAAAATAGGGAAAAAAAAAAAAAATGGAGTTTCAATTTCGTTCAAAAAATAAAAAATATTCGTTTTGACGAAATTGTAATTGTAGGCAGAATGTCAAAACCTTCTTAATATTAACTAAACGCTCTCCATGGTTGACTATCTCCATACTTTTCAAAACTGAACAAGTCTATCTATGCGACTGACCGAAAATAATTTTACTTACACTGAGAGATTTTCTCCCCTGAGTACCTGTACGACGAACGAACCTGTAGCCAAAACATCCCAACATCCCCAACAACAAAAGCAGTACCAAGAATCTACTACGTAGATAACACTCAAAGAAAGAAATGAAGTACCCAATCAAAAGTCCAGAAATCTATAAAATATTAAACTAAAGGAACAATCTCAATGACTAAGAGTTGGGAAGGAAGAATAAGCATTAGGGTTGCCCTCTCATCATCACTATACAAAACACTGTAAAGAGTCTTTGTTGCCTAGACGAGTTTCCCACCACGCACCCAATGGATACAACTCTACTTTGCTCTTCACCGGGTCTCTCATATCATCCCAACCCTTTGAGTTTCACCCTAAACCATGGCAAACATACCCCGGCACTTACGAACATCGAGAATCTGTGAATGGACATATACTTCTGGAAAATTGCAACATCAAGCACAAATCCAAAATCCCTGCCTCAGCGTGAAACGACTGACCAAGGCTATCAATCACGCGAGGGAAGTGCGTTGTGCTGATGTTTCCAAAGGTATTTCAATAATTCATAAGAACTCAATACCAACGGACAAAAACGTTCAATTTACATCATGAACCGGCAACGGAAAACTAAACAAAACGTAGAGGACAAAAGCAACACCCAAGTTAAGTAAAAAACAGAACATGAAGTGAATAAACATCAGACTGCCTTGCGACGTAAATAGGTCAAACGAAACTTGTTGTAGCTCTTGAACATGCCGGCGCGCTGCCACCACAGCCGCACACTCTCCCACTGCCTCCAGATGCGCCACTCTGCCTTCCATACTTTTACTAGTGGTCGAGGGAGTCGGGATAGCGTGTCATGAAATACAGTGCACGACCTTTGGATGGTGAGAAAGGAGCCCCCCCTTTCCTGCAGAAGGTTTGAGGGGAGGACGGCTCCTCTTGTATCGAGATCCTCTTAGGTATAATAGTTGGTATAAAGGTAATGTGTGGAGCTGCCCGGATGCCACGGCGTAAGAGTGCAAGGCACTTCCTACCCACTCAAGGGCTAGGCTACACCAGGGCACTGTCGCCATAGCTCTCACACAGCTATGGTGCCTGGCAAGGTAGGTGCCTGTTGGAAGAGATCAACGTCCACATACCCCGACGTTGCGTCCTACACCGTAGCCGCCGACGACCGGGCGTCGCTATCGCCGCTTCGTTAGCGCACATTTCGTGCGCCCCACCTCTTTCTCCTTATTTTTAATTACGTAACTTGGAGAAATGAAACATGTCTGGAATAGTCGGAGTGAATGTCTCCGTGAAAAAGGGATACTCCTCGTGGTGAGGGGACAAGAGGTCACCATTTGTAAAACGGACAGGGACAACGTGGATGGCCACATGCATTCATTGCCCAAAGAAGGAAACGAGTTTAATGTCAGACGACCAAACAAAGTTGTCAAAGTTCCTCCGTTTCGGGATGTAATGACGTCTAAAAAACAAAAAAAAAGGAAAGGCACTGCAGTTGAGGAATGTTCCC